GATTTCCCATTAGATGAATATTGGAATTTCTGGATTTATTTGCTATGTTACTTAAATTTTCTCTTTATCCTCTTTCCTGAAAAAAAAAAAAAAAACTGGGCCCAGTTTTTTCTTTCACTAACTCACCCTTCAGTTCAGCTTGCATCCCTACAGCATGGTATTGAAGAGACTAAGTTCAAATCCTGGTTCAGTCACTTTTATTGTGTTGCTTTGGGTAAGTTGAACCTTTATATTCTTCAGTTTTCTCATGTGTAAAATGGATGTGCTAATAATATTGCCTGCTCTTTAAGATTATAAATATTAAATATGTAATGCTTTCTTAGTCCATTTGGGTGGCTGTAACAAGATACCTTAGACTAGGTAATTTGTAAACAACAGAAATTTATGGCTCACAATTTCAGAGGCTGGAAAAACCAGTATCAAGGCACCATCAATATGTTGGGCGAATGATCTTTCTATCTTTCCTCATATGGCAGAAGGACAAGCAGGCTCCTTTAAGCCTTATTTATAAAGAATAACCTAATCAGAAGGGTTCTGCACTCATGATCTAATCATCTTCTAAGGGCAATACCTCTTAATACCATTGCTATTAAGGTTAGGTTTCAACATTTGAATTTTTTTTKGGGGGGGGGACACAAACATTCAGACCATATAAAATTCTTAGAATAATTGTAGTATAAATACTTTATTATTAAATTACTCATTTTAAAAATTTCAATAAACATTCTTAATTAGTTCTCTAACTGGTTTGCTTTTAAAATAACCTTGCTGTTTTATGAATGCAAGCTCCCATATTATGCCTCTAAGGATTACAAAAATGTATATTATAAACTTTTTGCTGAGTGCAATGGTGCACACCTGTAATATCAGTGGCTAGGAAGCCTAAGTCATGAGGATTGTGAGTTCAAAGCCAGCCTCAGCAATTTAGTGAAGTCCTAAGCAACTTAGTGAGACACTGTCTCAAAATAAAAAATAAAAAAGGGCTGGGGATGTGGTTCAGTGGTGAAGCACCTATGGGTTCAATCCCTAGTATCAAAACAAACAAAAWTTTTTTTTTCTTATAATAATATTAACTTTGGGTGTTGATTCTGTTTGTTGACTGAAGTGTCTCTCTTTCACAGTAATAGATTTCCACAAATGAATGGTGCTTTGGGGTTGGTTGTCCACTCATCCTGCTGTTGAAACTCTTATTTGTCTATGTATGGTGTCAATTCTGACTTATAAGTGCTTGCTTTGCTGATTGTGATGAGAGGAGGTCTGGAAAGTACATGGTGCAGGGAAGAGGATATTGGTAATCTTCTGTGTGTGCATGTGGTCCCATTTCCCCCAGCAATTGGTGATCCACTCTCTGGGATGCTAGTTTGCTCATTGGCCCAAGTACCCACACTCAAAACAGTATGTGTCAGGGCTGAAGGTAGTCATGTCCACCGGTGAGGCTTACATTCCTTCATATCACTCATCACTATATGACTAAAATAATCTTAGTTATTGATTATTTATTTACAAGTTTATTGTTCTCTATGAAGGCAGGGACTTTTTTTTTTTTTTTAACCAAAGTTTTGTCTCTAGGGCCTAGTACTGGTCTTACACAGAATGATTCACATATTTGTTGAATGAATGAAAGAGTGAATTAATATTGTTCTTTCATTACTCACCATATGAATGACATCTTTTCTGAGCTTGACCCTGCCCCAGATGATCCCAGTCCCTCCCTTTATAGTCTGGTTTGTGATTCTACTGGAAATCCAGTCCTGCCTGCTTTATATAATCCACAAAGTCCTCAGAGTCACTAGACCACTGATGTCGTTAGTCTTTTACAACTCCAACAAATGACTAAAAATCTACTTTCTGTTGTACTTAGAGATTTGTGGTGATAGAGGTGTATGGCATGTACTTTTGGAAATTCCACAAGTGGTATTTCTGATTTCTACTGTGTAGTTTTAGTTGGTGCAGACATTGACACTAATTAACACTGAATGTAATAGGGAGAGTATAACCTCCTTTGGGATTCTTTTTCTTTTATAAATATCTTTAAGTTATAAAAATATTTCAAATATATAAAGATACTGAAGATAATATAATGAATAACCATTACTAATCATCCAGATTTAACAATTCAAACATTAAAAAAAAAAAAAGGGTATCTCTCTTGGAGGCTCCTTTGTGCCTTCCCATTCCACTCCTCCTCCTCCCTTCTCACTAGTTGATCTGTATGCTTCCTGCCCATGTTGGTGCTTTTTATAGTTTATTGCCTATTTATCCCAGGCATAAATAGCATATCGTATTGTTCCGCAGGCTTTCAAACTGCTCATAGATGGCATCAGTTCCCTCAGTCCTTCAGATTACCCCAAGAGGAAAATATCACTTTGGTTGAATCTTGAATGCTCTTTCTGGCATTTGCCATTCTCTCTCCTAACAAACTAAGAGCGGGTCTTAGGCTAGAAGGGGGGGGGGATGGGGGGATGGGGAGGTGGAGGGGTGGGGGGGTGGGGAGGTGGGGGGAGGGGAGGCAATGATAGCTAGCTAGAATTTAATAATACTGCTTTATTTTCTATTATATTTATTTTAAAGGTTTCCTTCCTTTTCTTAAATCGAGTGTTGCTAGCTTTCCATTTATAGTAGTGATTTATGTTTTCTTTTAAATTAAAGGTAGGGAAAAATAAAAGTGTTGATTTAAAGAAAAATGTTAAGTAGTAATAGTTACAGGCAGTATACTGAAGAGGCCAAAAAAAAAAAAAAATCAGGAAGTYTGTACTCATGTAGCTGAAGGTTGTTCTACACTTGATCTAAAGGATAAAGTTCAAGTTCCTAAATGAGGCATGCAAAGCTCCACCTGATCTGACCTCTGTTTTCTTCCCAAGTTCCAAGAATCACAATCATTACTTCACCTCCAGCTGTACAAACTGCTTGGAGCTTCCGCCTCCTCACCTGTGGCACTAGTTGGAGGTACATTTGCTATGCTAATCATTCCTTTTATGGCATTTCCTGTAGCCAGCTCCCCTACCTTCACCTGGCTCTTACCTCTGATGAGTAGGAGCTCTAAGGAAGCCCTCTCCATTTAGTACCTATCACTGTGCTGCATGTACAATCCTCTAATCCCATCCTAAACCCAAGAGTTGAATTTAGTGCCAGTGTCACTGTATGTATCTTCATGGCCTGAACAGGTTACTAATGATAAAAGAACTGACCTGCTTGCGATGTGGCAGATAAACTCTGGGGTATAAAATGAAAGCTCTCTGTAGTGGGAAAAAAGTTTATCTCACATTTCCATGTTTGACCTTTTAAAAATAGTTCTGTTTATGTGTCAATACCTGATCTTAAATTTTCTTTCACACTGAGACAATACATTAACCTATTGTTCAGATAAAGGGTAAAGATGAATAATAATAAAGAGGACACAGAAGGGGAAAATGATAATGATGGAAAATAATGTTTTTTATGTCATTCTGACATGGTGGTTTACTGCATGGTACTTATTACATCGACTTGGATGGCTTCATTAGAAAATGAGAAGTCAAAGAGCACAATTTTAATATAACACGTTTGACATATAACATTTAAAGATAAAAGCTCCCAAACTGTTACAGCTATTGAGATGTTGCAACAATTTTCAAGTTTCATGGTCTCTGATCCACAGTGCATAGGAATAAATTCAGTATTACTAACAAAAACAGTACAGCAAACACTGAATGCTGTTTAAAAGTCCTTTAATGTTAGCAGTCTTGATGAACTAACTGCATAAGTTTCCATTCATTCATTCAAAAAAATCTTATTCTGAAGCTCATCTTCACGCTACGTAATTAAAACCCTTCACTGTATTTGGCCATAGGTAGATCCCCGTCTTAACAGAGATTCAAAGAATATTTTATGAGCTGCTGGTATGTTTGTAGGGGAAAGTTCAGATTTTGCGTTTTCTTCCAAGATATTTCGCTTGGCTAAGGCCTCGAGAGCGCGGGGAAGCTGCGGGAAGTGACTTCACTTTCTTGATCACAGAATGTCACGTTTGCCACTGTAAACACCCAGCGTTTAAATGAGAAAGCAGGCGAAGTGAAATAGCTCTCACGCGTACGTCTTCCATGTTACATCTTATCCACCAGCCAAACTTTCTCCATCAATCTGGGTAGGTCAGCTCCGAAATGCCGCCTGAAGGAGAAATACTGTCCTAATGTGGCTTACCCAATGCCAGCCTTGGAGTTACCTGAAACATTCTAGCTAGTGCACCCAGAGAATAAGCTTCTCGTTTCAATTCGGTCATTTCCGTGGGGAATTGCGGCACGAGCAGGTCTTGGGTGTGGTGATGTCAAGAGGGAGCTCAAATCCCCTAGCTTTCCCGCTACTGGCAAACCTTCCCAGCCCCGAAGCAGCGAGTGACCGGCGTCCTGGGCCTGTCATCCAGCTTACCGGGGGCCACCGGTGGCCCCGACCTCGCGTCCCCTACACACTGCTGAAGCGCCAGGCTGCGCGCCCTGCGTGTGCGCTTCTCCCCCACTCGTTCCGCGTCTGGAGGCGGATCCCCTTCCCTGCACACAAGTCCTTATATGCACCGGTTGCACCAGCCCGCCTTACTCCAGCCCCACAAATAATTAATGGGGAGGGAGGGCGTCGTTCTTTTTTTTTCCTCAGGCTTCTTTTTCAGCGCTAGAGCTTTCGAACCCCTCCGAGAACCCCCAAAATGCGGCTGAAGGGCCATTTTGCTGCAGTGCATAAATCGGACACACAAAAATAGAGCTTGAGTCCTTGCGATAAGCACGCCTAGGTTCAGGAACAGCTCTTCCGATCCATCCCCATTAGCCCGCAAAAGCCTGGGCGGAAAGGGCGCGCGCCCCTCCCCCAATCCACGCTAGTGCAGAGGGACAGGGTCAGGAAGCGTGGCCTCTCCCCAGTCGGAGACCACGCCTCCTCCGCCTCCCCCCGCTTTTACTCCTCCCAGGAAGCGGTGATAGACAGTTCTGTGTGGTTCTCCACCCCCACCCCCCCAGCTGAGTGGAGGAGTTGATGTGTCTCATTATAACAGCCAATGCAGCCGCCATCCACGCACAAGCAAAGAAGCATGTCCCATTTAAATACACCCACGCAGCCCCAGCGCCCTTAGCCGATCAGGGCGCGCAGCCCACACGCACCGCGGCTCCGGGCTTGGAGATCCGTGCAGGTTGGGCTCCCGGACCGGCGGACAGACGCGCGGAGGATCGTGCTCAGGCTCTGTGGGGCTGGGGTGGGCGGGGGAGGTTTGGCCCGGGGCCTCTGGCGCGACACCCGCATGAGGACGCGAGTGAAATAGACCAAGGTGGAATTTCCAAGGGAGAAGCTTCGGGGTGGTTTTGGTCCATTTCTCCGGCAAAGTAGAAGACATGGCGAGCGACTCCCCGGCTCGCAGCCTGGATGAAATCGATCTCTCGGCTCTGAGGGTGAGCAGAAACGTGCTTTCTGGTTTCTTTCCAGTGGTTTGGGGCAGGGAGAGTGGGCTCCGGTGAGTGGACTGGGGCTGGGGCTGGTGGGCAGCAGCGGAAGCATGCAACCCCGAGGGAACCTGCATTCGGATTTTGATTCGGGGGTTGCTGCTCCTGGCTGAGCCCCTACGGCAGGGGCTGTGCGGTACGTTTTCTCCTCTGGCTGTGGCCGATGCTCCCCGAGAGCTCGGGAAGCTTATGCCAATTTCAAATTAGACCGGTGTAAGAGCATTAAAATGAAAGGCTCGTGGTGTGTGTGTGTGTGTGTGTGTGTGTGTGTGTGTGTGTGTGTGTATACACGCCCTGGGCAGCCGTCTCTTGCCAAGGCGCGAGACCCAACTGTCCCTTTCGGCCAAAAGAATAACCGCGTGAATAAAGCCACTGGCCCCCTCACGTTTTCCAGCTACCTGCAAGATGACATTGTGAGCCTCCTGTCCCCGCCAAGCCGAACCCACTGCTCCAAGGGGGCAGTTTTTGCTCTGCGGGTCTTGTAGATGGCAACTGCGTCCCCCTCCCCCTTTTCTGCCTCCCACCCTGGCTCCCTCTCAGCGCTCGCTGAAATGCCAGTCTGCCACTCACCTTTATTTATGGTTTTAACTCAGCCCTGCCTGTGCTTTCCGACTTTGTGACTGTGACATTTCAGTTTTATGGCTTGAACTTAAGCAGGTGAAAGGGATGTGTTTTCAGTTCTCTCCCAATCAGACCGGAACTCCCTGGAGTGTGTGAGAGTGTGTGTGTGTGTGTGTGTGTGTGTGTGTGTGTGTGTGTGTGTTTTCCCCGTGTCTGTGGCCATTCTTTGGTAGAGCACCTCCCTTCCCCCTGCCCCTCTGCTTCGCGTTTACCTTCACGTGAATTACCTCAGACGCTTTTCATTGTATTGACTAAGACATCACTGATACAGAATCCATTTTGCTGTTGTTTTGAGATCAGAACACCAGGAATCCCAGTGCAGCCTGCACATTTCCCCACCCCCAACCCCGGATCCCAACACACTCCTTCGGGGAAGGGGGCTGAGCTTTCTTGCCATTTTAATTAGATGTTGCCTGCTAGGAAGGGGGTGAGGGGTGGCGGTGGTGGGAGCAGCCGGAATCTGAGAAATATTGGACACCAATCTGGGGACGGTGTCTTCCTCTCGTGAACCAAAAAAATAAAATTAAAAAGAAAATAGCAAGTGCATGTACTTGATGTATGGAGTGTGGGTGAAACCCAGTCCAGGGTGGCTCTGTGGTCGCTGAGACAGGCAGTAGGGGTGGAAGTTCACTTGCCCTCCAGAGGAATACATTGTTAGATTGATGCTGAATCTTGGGGCCATTTACCTGAATGTCTAATGTTTCTTCTGACATTACCTCTCCTTGGATATTTGAAAGAGCTACCTCTCTAATCAAAGTGTTACTTTTTCTTTAGTCTCCATAAACCTTTTCCCCGATCTCTTTTTCTAGTCCTTTTCCCCTTCCCCTTAATCGGTTGGTCCAGGAGTTGAGGTTTTAGCAAGGCAGTGTTGGAGTTGAGAAGAAACAGGATGTCATTTGACATGGGCTGTTCTGATAGTTGTGTGGCCAGAGCTCATTCATGCATTATTACAGTAAGCCGGCTGTTTTCTTGGTGCCGGAATACCACATCCAGAACCCCTTGCCCTCTGGGCAGCTAGGGGTGGGGTTGGTAACAGGGTGGGTGCTTTGGACCAGTCTGTGGCTTCCTGCTTTAGGGACTGTGTGTGTTCACTTGCCCTACTTTCTGGATGGGAGTTGCTGCTGGCGGTTAATGTTAATCGGGTGGATGGATGACTGGGATTTGGGGAGGAGGGGAGTGGCAAAGGGGAAGGGGGTCTGAACAATGAGCAAGATTTGCAGTGATTCCCCTGAGCTGCAATCTGGACATTATTCCTAAATGGAAAGCACTCTGATGTGTTTTTAAGTTGAGCTGGGACTTGTCTCATGTGGGCTTTCTGTTGGCTGAGGTTTTCTGAGACACCAGACACAGTGCCTGCCTGTAGGCTTAAGAGTAACCATGAAGACTCCTGGGCCCACCTTGAAGGCATTTCTCATTGGGAAAACCTGTACCCTGGTAATCTGTATTTTGAAAAGATATCTTTGCATGATTCACGGAAATTGTTCTTTGTGGCCTGAGCTGCTGGCTTAGTTCTCTGCCTGCCTGGAGATGTACTAAGAGGGAAGGCAGTTTATCCCAGTGACTGCTGGCAGGAAGACTTAAATGATGGTGTGCAGACATTTGCTCCCCGCATTGATGGGGTCTTCCACCAGCCTTGTGTGCAGGCCAGTGTGGCTCCAAAGGCCAGAGGTGATTTCCACAAATCAGAGGGTGATCATCTCTGCCTCCTCAAATTTGGAGAGGTGGGCTCATGGAGATGAGAAGTCTGATTTGTCCCTTAGCCCTCCATAAGGCCTGCCTGCTGAGTACCTCCTGGGGAGTGAGTGCCTGACCCCTGAAATGCAGCCAAGGTCAGTGGCTTCTAGGAGAATTTGCTTCGGCCTTACCAGTCCCTTGCTGTTTCGGTGGCTCTTTAATGTACACAATCAATGCTCTTTTTGTAAACCCTGGGCTCAATGCATTAAAAAAGAGATCCTGTCTGGAGAGGCCTTATCTTTCTCACTTTGGGGGCTTATTGTTCTCAGCCAGTGATCCTAGACTGGACCCAGTCTAATTTTCCCCAAATAGGAACAATGCATAATTCAAACCAGAACAACCAGTGACAGTACTGATCATTTAAATTATGCAAGATTTGGATGGTTTTTAAAAGTAAAACGAAGCTGAGTCTTTTTTGGTTAGAAAATAATCAGAATTCAATTTTAGTCTTGATTTTTAGAACTCATGAAACTGAATCTTGGGGGTGGAGATATTTTCACAGATTTAGAACTGAAAGAAAATTGAAGATTGCTCTGCCACACCTTACATTTAACACACGGGAAGGAGAAACCCAGAGAGGTTGAAGTCTGTTGCTCTATGTCCACAGCCACAGGGGTTGGGGGGATGGGGATTAGGGGAGGTAAGAAGAATGGTTTGAGGAGAGATTCTAGGTTTTCTGACTCTTTATCCAGTGCTCTTTGCTCTAAGTCACGTTGTCTGTGGCTGAATCAGAAATCAATAATACATTTTCTGCCTGAGCACCAAAAAATGGCAGAGAGGAATAATTTCAGTGGGGTGATGGAATTTTATTTATGCAGAAGGGAAACTGCTTCATGCAAGTAAATTGGTAATACAGATAACCATGGAGCTTTAAGGCACCTCTGAAATTCATTTTGTCCCCCTCCTCTCTGTGCTTCCTTTGCAGGCAGATGACTGAATGATACAAGGCAGATGGCTGTCCTGCACGGGTAGCCTCTCCTAGTAACCCATCTCCATCTGAACATGTCCCAAGGGGTCAGTCTAGACACACACATTATTCAGATGTCTACACGAGAGGTTTATGGAGTYTGTGGATGTTTTGTACAATCTATGTGGATACGGATATTATATATATAGTATTATGGATATAAACTCTATCCATGTGGGTGTATGGAAATGTGTGTATACATACATAGGCTACAGCAAACAATTTACTCATTCAAACCTGGGCCTTGAGTCATTCTTGCTTCAAGACATCATGATATTAAAAGATGAAACTTGCCACCAGGATGCTTTATTGCACATGAGGTGAGCTCAGCCCAGAAAGCTTTTTGAAGATTAAAATATTTCTGAACCTGAGCATCTTGGCTGTCTTTAGCTTGGCCCACGGGGTAAGGCATTCAAGGCCAGGATTTGGCCACTGCTGATCTCATACTCTTGGCTTCTGCCAGGGCTCACACATACTTTTCTATTTGAATGGAATTAGATGACCTACACTTGTCTTTTCCAAACCCCTCACTCCGTTTTGGGCCTAACTGTTCCTTTTTCCATCAAAACCCAGATTTAAGCATTGACTATACCTGGAATCTTGCACATATTCTTAACTACACTTTTTATGCTTGTGATATCATTGGTGTGAGGTTTTCTTTCTGTCTCCTCACCAGACTGTGGGCTTGCTTATGGCCCACAGGGTCATCTTTGAGTCCCAAGTCCCCATTATTTAGATAAATGAATGAAAGTGGGAATGAATGTTTAAGCGAATGGAGTAGAATGAGCACTAGCTTTGGGTTCTGTGTCCACATCTTCTTAGTCAACCTAAAAATGGGAATGATCACAACTGCTTGCCTTCCTTGTTCACTGGTTTCAAAAAATCAAATATTTATGGCAGTGCTTTCAAAAGCCCAGCACACCATTACAAACGTGCTATTCCGTGTTAGGTAGAACTTTTGGGGGGAAATTGATTCCACCAACATTTGATCCTGGTGATTGCACCTGATAGAAAATGATCCTGGGAAAAAAGTATCAGAAGAGGCTTCTTTCCGGTAGCACCTCAGTAGACCTTCGTTGCCTGTTCCCTTTTATGTGCCAATCTGACCTTGTATGTTTCTCTGATGTCCTCAGTTGAGCTTAGCCTTGGGTATCAGCATTCATTGCATGTGAGGTAAGCTTGGCTCAGAAGCTTTTTGGAGATTACCATATTTCTGAGCTAGTATCAACTATCGGGCATTATTCATTCAAACCTTCTTCTGTCTTTCTTTTTAAGTTTTTTCTCTTTGTAGGTGATCTGTTATTCAAATGCAAGCAATTTTATTAAATGCCTGGGCCTTTTCAAAGTGTTTGTTTTCTTTTTCTAGGAGGGTGAGGTGGACACCTAAAATGATAACACTAATAACCCAGTACTTAAAGCCTGGTCAGAGGTCTCCTGGGTCTTAAAGAAATCTCGAAACATTATTAATTCATTACCCCAGAGCACTTAATTAAATTTGGTCTAAAATGAGATTTCTGTAAAGTTACACAAATTGATGAGATAACGGTATCTTCAGACAACAACAGCATGGCAGTTTTTCTTTAGATGTATTTGTTGTTTTTCAGGGGTATTAAACAGGTGTTTTCTT